TGGAGAGCTTCCCGGAGCTCATGACGGCCGCCAAGTTTCTGCTGATGCGCTCTGTGATTGACATCTGCCAGGAGGTCATCAAGCAGTCCAATGTGCAGCTCCTCGTGCCGCCCACACGCCCTGACATTATGCTCTTCCGTCCGGGGGCTGCTGACCTCGGCTTCCCTCTTGACATGACCAACGGTGCCACTTTGGCACCCAATGGCAACGGCATTGCTGGTATGCCTGAAGACGAGGCCGCACGGGCGGCCCTCACTGCTGCCCAGTCCTCCCTGCCTGTTCTGCAGGGCGTGGACCGCCTGCCCATGGTGGCAGGACCTCTGTCCCCACCACTGCTGGCCTCACCCTTCCAGAATGTTGCTGCTAGTGCCCCCACTTTAAGCACCAAGAGGGGCAGAGGGCGTCCCCGTAAAGCCAATCTCTTGGACTCCATGATGTTTGGTACCCCAGGGGGCCTGCGAGAGGCTGGTATCCTGCCTTGTGGCCTCTGCGGGAAAGTATTTACGGATGCTAATCGCCTTCGTCAGCATGAGGCTCAACATGGGGTGACAAGCTTGCAGCTGGGCTACATAGACATCCCACCCCCGAGACTGGGTGAAAATGGTGTCCCTGGTCAGGATGACCCCGATGCACCCCGAAAAAGAAGCAGGACGAGGAAACAGGTGGCCTGTGAGATCTGTGGCAAGATTTTTCGGGACGTGTACCACCTGAATCGGCACAAGCTGTCGCACTCTGGCGAGAAGCCTTACTCTTGTCCGGTGTGTGGCTTACGGTTCAAGCGGAAAGACAGGATGTCCTATCATGTTCGATCTCACGATGGCTCTGTGGGAAAGCCCTACATCTGCCAGAGCTGTGGAAAAGGCTTTTCCAGGTAAGAGAGCGCTTATAAGGACCATAGACACAAACGGAGACCTAGGAAGTTGTCTTTCCTGCCCCTTGGGAAACAAGACCAATTGGTACTTAGGATAGTTTGACTGTTCCACTTTAAAATGTCTTGAGAAATGAGACTGCCATCATTTCCGCTGGGATGCTATTCTACAGTCTCTTGAAAGGGTTTAAAAGTAATTAAGACATAGAACTCGGAGTCAGCTGGCTTCTGGGTAACATTCCCAGCTTTGTCCCAGGCTTGGTGTGTGCGTGTCCTTGGGCAAATCAGTTAGTCTCTCCCTCAAATGACTCTTCTGTGAAATGGGTATTGAAATAATTACCTACCTCACATAAGTGTCTTGAGACTACTGGTTTGTAGGTAGTTTGAAGGTGCTGTTGAAGTGCAAAATATTAATACATCTCAAGATTATTATTTTTCTCGTATCCATTTTAAATTTTCTTTTTCTTAACTTCCCTTCATTTCTCTTAGTTCGTAATGTTTTTTATCACCCAAATGTGAAGGAAGAGGTGAGATTTCAAAGGCTGCAGCATCAAGTATCTTTTAATACATGATCTTTGTGTCCTTTGGGTTTACATCCTTCTGAAGGGGATCCTGTTTCTGCCCTGCAACATACGTAAGATCTGTGCATTTAATGTTGCTGATTTTTGTTGTCGCTGTTTGTGGGAGTTAATTTAATAAGTAGTTTGATACAGCTAGTCGTGTTAGTGGTATCTTATAGTCTGAGTTAATGAATTTGAAACTTTCTTGGAAGTTTGATGCTCGCTTTGAGACTAGAAGTAGTGGGGGGAGGGGGATGCGTACACACTGTGTTACTTTGGTGGCAGCAGTCGGTTTTCGGTTTTCTATAGCAGTTGGTTTACTCTAAGAGGAGGGAAGGAATGGAGATACGAAAACAAATAAAAAGGCTACTAGGCTATATAAATGTAGGAATTGTGCCCCTGCTCTCTCTCTTTTTGATAGAGGGACTTTTTGAACTCAAATAAAGTAAGAAAATTTAGAGGTGTTTTTTTTTTTTTTTTAAAAAAATCAACAATAATTAGCGATGCATCTTCATAAGGACTGCAGATTTAGTGATGGGAAGTCATAAACCGAAAACTTCATCTGCGGCTAGAAGTGAAAGTGGCTTTCGTATTACAGCCAATTTTTATTAATTGTATTCACACGTAAAGATTTCTGCTGTTGCTGTATGGAAGGTTTTGTCAACAAGGGAAAGTGAAAGATACGTGTTGAGTTCTCATTTTTCCCCGTAACTTAATGTGAACAGGCAGGAAAGCTGGTTAATGCTGTTATAAAAGTAAGCCACAAAAACATCTGCGTATCTTTGTAAAATCGAAGTATGAATGAAACACAGAGCCTCTTTCTTTAAGTTTCAATACTCAGCCCTCGGAGCAGCCAAAGGGAGTTGGAAGTGTGATGTCTAATTTTAGTATCCTTGCCTTCATTCGGTAGCGCAGCAGGTGAGGTTGCTAGGCGTGAGGTACCTGGAAGGACCCCCCAACCAGTCTTGCCGGTTACACCGCTCCAGCCCATTTGCTGGAGCATCAGATTTAACAGCCTGACTGCAAAGTTCAGTCTATTTTCTGTCTGCAGTGCGTGAATTCCATCCCGCGCCCTCTCATTGGCGCAGCTGGAAAGTTGGGGGAGGAGAGGGTGGAGAACTTGTTTCCAAGCAGTTTTGGTCTCATACAATGAAAAGCTTTCTTCCCTCTAGGAGAAACTCCCACCAGGAAAATCTGCAGCTATTCAGTCCTCTCTTCTTCAAAGTAGGCTTTACTGATTGTGAAGAATGGTCTAACTTTTTTATCAGTAATAATTTGCTCTTCCATTGCACCTTCTAGTTGGGACCTTCAGAGCACTTTATTTGTGTTAATGCAGTCTCCCCACCAAGTTGTGAGTTAGGACAGTATTTTTTTCATCTTGCTGGTGGAAAATGTGTCACAGCAACAGCGTTTAGAGTCAGTCTTTTTGCACAGAGGTACTTAAACTTGGCTTCTTACATCCGTGTTTGGGACATAAACCAAAAGGGTCTGATTTTCAAACATTCAGCAACTGTAAATCGAAGTGCCCTGATTGTCAAGATCTAAATAGGATTTGGAAGGGGACATGCAGTCTTGAAAATTGTAGCTTGTATTTCCTGTTTTCTCTGATCATTCAGTCATAATTTCTTCCTGAGAAAATGCTGCTTTTTTAGCAAGTTGGAGAGGGTACTTACTAAGGTAGAGTCCCAGTTGTTGTTGATCTGATTCTTGGAAAGTTAAATATCACTATATTTGTAATGGATCCACCACTGGGATCTTTTTTTTGTGTTGTTTTTTTTTTTTTGTTAAAATTGTAAGTTTATTTTTAGTATTTGTTTTAAGCATGCTTATGTGTATTTTCTTTTAAGGCCAGACCACTTGAACGGACACATCAAACAGGTGCATACCTCAGAGAGACCTCACAAATGTCAGGTAGGAGCTGGAGGGCTTTAGAGTGATGTAATCTTTGGCATTGCATTTATGTGTGCAGACAATTGTGAAGTATCAGTAAAAATACAAAATACCATGTGTGTGTGAACTGGGATAAACGTTTGTAAATAACAGTGTTCAACAGTGACAGCTGCTTTACATCCCTCCCACCCCCTAGCCCCTTGTGTCACCTACAGCTTTGGTCCTTCTGCCTCCCTCCCCTTCTACCAGACGTTCTTCCCTACTGCTCTATCCCAGTCTCACCCTGGATCTCTTACCCAGCCACCTTGTCCCTGGGCTTAGAGTCAATGTCACCGATGATTCCCTCTGGTCCCTGCCCCTCCTTTTTTTATTTTTTTTTTTAATTGCAGTTGTTGCCAACAGGAGGCTCCAATGCTGACTTCTTTTTTTTTTTTTTAGAATAATTTCAAATAAAATTGAGAAATTGTCATAACTTGCTAAGATACTGGTTTTTTTTTTAATCACATAGCCTTCAGAACATTGCACTGAGCAAAATTGGAAGCTTTTTTTTATCCCAGGGAGAATATAAATAACAGCATCACAGTATCCTTTGTAATACAATGTCATAATGTTGTATATAGTTTTTTACAGTTAATAAATTATTCATTAGGGTTTGAAAGATCAAATCAAGAAAGATATTTTGTAGTTCATTTGTAGAGAGATTTAAAAGGTGCCTGGAAGTATTAATTAAAACCAAGTTGAGAATCAGCTTCCACTATCACCCGCTGCCTTCACATAGTTGTTGGGCAAACATCTAAAACATTTGTTGGGCTAACAGTCTCCGTGCTTGGTCTCTGAAGAAATATTAAATTATTTATTTATTTAAAGAAAGTTGGAGCAAGATAATTTTCATTTTCTTTGAAGACAGTGAAAGTTAGAGGATTTTTTTTCTTCTAAAATTTTTAACCACTTTTTATGAACCTTGTCAGTCTGATATGACTGCTGCCTCCTGATCTGCATTTTTTTCCCACCTCTTAACATAAGTCCTATGTTTCCTCCAAATTGTGAGAGTTTTGAAACATTTTTCAACTTTAATAATCCAGTGAACAGTTTTTCAGACATAGAGCCATCTAAAGGTTTCTGTTGACCTCCGTATGATCTTTGGAAGCACAGCACCTTTGAAAATCAGGCCATAGTGCCTTCACATTGATTTAACTGTATATCTTATATAAAGCTTTAGATTGGTTTAAACTTCTTAAGATGATCTAGGGGTTATAGATTTACATAAATTGGAAAATTCCACTCAGAAAGACTTAGCAATTTGGGGATAGCAAGGAGTCTGGGTGGATGAACTGAAGATGACTACAAATTTTTTCCACAAGCATGTATTTGTGTACAAATACAAAAATGAATGTTTAGGTCCCAACATAAACAGAAACTCATCAGTCTTTTGCCAGTTCCTGTCAGGCTTACTGAATGAACACAGTTTATGAGTAACATTGATAGACATGAATTGTCCTTTGCCAGCTGATGCCTGATAATTTTTTTATAGTTTTCTGATTGATTTAAGAATATTAAATACAAACTCTGTAAGTGTGAATACACTAAGAGCTAGACAGTAAAGAAATATGAAAGCTAAGATTGTACAGCCAAGATCAACTCCGTCTCCTTGCACACGTGTATTTTATGATAGAAATTTCCAAGAACAGTCTTTCTCATTGTGTGTTTTCTAAAGTGCCATAACATTGTATGTACTGTTCATTTCAGTTAAAAGGTATAGGCTATAGGTTACAAGCATCAGGACAGAGTCGACGTTGTCATTCAGGCTCGGTTTGTTCTTTGTTTTTGACTGCTTAACCCTGCAAAGTTAATTTTTCACCAATCTCAAGGTGTAGAAAATTTGTTAAAGAGCTGTTGTATGTCTTTGCAAAAAATACTTCATAATATCCTGTCAGATTTAGAAAGTCTTCTTAAATATGCACAGATCTGATATACATGGTACAAACCACGGAAAGGGTGCCATCACGCTGAAAATTTGTTTCAAATCTGAAAGCTGATGTAAAAATTGATAACGTTCTGCTTGTGATTATCTGACAACTGGTAATACGTCTGTTCCGTGACGTGTATCTACACAAAGAATCTGGCCACTAAGAAGGAAAACAGCTTAATATTGACATGTTGTTTCCCCATTTGCCATTCTCTTTTTCCATTGATTTTGTCTGGCAAATTAGCTTCCCATGAGAGTGGCCTGAACAGCATTGGGCATCCTTTTTCAACCTGTTGAGTTCGTGTTGAAAATTCCTGTTATTGTCATGCTTTGTTTATGTTTACTGCAAAAGAGAAGTACTCTGTCAGTAAACAGAAAAGTTTTCCAGAATCCTCTATCGTAATGGCATTCTTGGAAGTTGTACTCTGTTATGATTTAAACAAAATCCACTGGCCATCTACCTCAGCACGGCGGTGGATATCTAGTGTTTTGTTGATGTGGCATCATGGTACATTTTAGACTACCAAAACAAAAGCGAGGAGGGGTCAACCCAACTTCAGAATAAATAAAAAGAAGCTATGAGAAGCAGGACAATTGTAAGCTGAACATCACTGCAACAGCTATAGTTTCCAGGGCTCAGCATGTAATCCTGCACTCATCCCCCTAAAATAAGACAGTGCTTCACAGTTCTTTGAAAATCTATCCTAAGTTCCGCCACCTGTAGCACCTGATGCCAGACAAAGACCCGATTCCAGCTTTTTCATTACAGTTAAAATAGACTCAGAATAGGGAGGACCTCCACAGAGCCAAGGCAGCTGAGAAATAGGATTCAAGAAGTTGCTTTAGTGTCCAGACAAGACACCAAATGGCACTTTGGATCTTTTCCCCAGGACTGTTGCACTGGTGATTTTATTTTTCTTTTTTAATTTTTTTTTTTTTTTTTTTAATCTGACAGTTGAGTTCTGGATGTAGGAGAAAGGGTAAGTCAGTTTTCTGGCCATAATGGGATAGCTCAGTTTGCTGACTCATCATGGGAAGGGGTGAAGCTGGGTTGTCGGCTTTTGAGTGTGAATGGTGTGAAAGTTAGGCTGCAGTTTGGGCGGAAATGGTGATCTGAAAAATCTGTGGACACGAAAGAACAAGGGGAGAAAACAGAAGTTTGCTCCTTCTCAGAGAACAAGAGACAGGTTGTTCTTCTGGCAATTTAAATAAAAAGGAGAAAAATACAGGTTGAATTAAATCACAACTTTTGACAAAGAAAAAGATCTGTTTATTTACGTAAACCTAAAATTGGCATCCCAAGTCCAGTGCTTTTCCCATTGATTTCAATGCAGAATGAGTTTCTTCCTGTCCTAATTTCTCTTACTTCCTGCCTATTAGCAGGAAAATGGCAGCCACCATGGAATAAGCTCAGAGACATCCACATCCATAGAAAAGTTGAAACTTCAAGAGGTATTTCTTAAACAATGTTTTTTAAACTTTATATATATTCTTTTTGATCTATTTATATACCTATGCAATGTTTAATAGGAAAGCACTGGAGAGTTTTCTTCTATGATTAACAATTAATGATAAATACTTAGTACTCATTTAGCACTTCACATCTTTTGTAAAATAAAACTTTTTTTTTTGCTCTATACCTTTTATAAATATTAACTATTTGAATATTAACTTTGGGGTTTTCTTTAAACCTAGTCCTGTCTCCCATTGTTATGATTCAGCTGAACTGGTTCTTGCTTTCTCCACTGGACTTAATTTTTTTTTTTTTTTAAGCTTCTTCGCAGATATATTTACTATATAGCTTATCCAAATGTGAACCTTGCACAACTCAGCAGCAAGAGTGAGAAATCAAACACAGAAATGATTATATTGCCTTTCCCTAAGCTTTCAACTTGATAAGTTCAATATGGGACAGATACGGTTTTACTTCTGGCATCCCTGTATTTCTGTGATTTGTCTCTGGTCTGCTTCATCAACTAATGCACTCCCAATGCTTTTGTATGGACGCTTACCGTGGCTCAATATTTTTAGACTTATTGATGATGGATCTCTTGGCTGTCATCCGTAATTGTCTAGTTATATATTTTTAGTTGCTATACAACAGATTGATGAGTATCAGTGCTGGAATCCTGCCTTAGATGAGTGTTTACCTCTAAGAACATTTTAGTAAGTGAAAGCTACACCTGTTTTGCTCAGCGCTGTGTACTGAGATTTCAAATGAAGAGAAATCTTTCATGTTCAAGAATTTGCCTCTTAATCTTCACTACTTGTAATTTATGAATCTTTGTCTGGTGAGCTTAGTTAAACTGTGTGTATTGCAGAAATCTAGATAATTTTACTGTTGTCTTTTTAAGTTCTTTAAGTCCTGATCCTCTGAGGTGCTAAGTCTGGTGCTTGCTGCAGAGTAGCCTCAGCTCCATGGGAGTTTACCATACTTAAAGCATCTCATAGGATCGAATGAGTGTAAAGCCTGTTGAAATTGATAGGTACTTTTCAGCTGCCTTCAGTGTTTTCTGGATTAAGCTCTTGATTAACTAAATTACACAAAATTGTATGGGTTATCCTCTTCTGTAGTATCAATTTCAATTATTTGAAGTTATAATTTTGGAATTTTGCTAGGATTGTTACTTTAACAAGTCTATCTCTATTGAAATAGTTGTTTAATTACACACTGGTACTTGGAAAGACAGAATATGTCCAGTTCCCAAGTCACTTAATAGCCTCGTATTATCTCTTAGGGAGTTCTGATTATACATCTTAAAACTGCGTTATTTTATGTAAAGGTGGTATAAACGAAACACTCTACACTCTTGAATGTCACTGTTGCCGCTTGGTCTGATCATTCTAATGTGTGTTTGCTTTTGTTTTTCCTCTCGCACTTGTGAGCAATGGTTTCAGGCTATATCTTGAATAACTTGTACAGTGTATTACTGGTGATTTATTTTCCTTCACATGTTAGAGAGAAAGCAAGCCTTTCAGAACTGGCAGACTGTTGTAACAGGCTATACACATAGTCTGCATGCCTGCCAATTGCTATTATTATAAAAATGGGAGGGAGCCTTCACTCATCGTGTGGGTTATGTCTGGGAGGTGGGCAAGTAGAATCAATACTGGTTTATGCCAAATCAAGCTTGTTTCATGGTAGTAAGTGGAATGTGATACCTTGATTGGGGTAAGTTATAAACAAATTACAGTGTCGTGCAGTTTATTTTGGTACCTGCTCAGTTCTGAGGCTTCACTTCTGCAATTTGTCTGCACTGCTACTGTGGATACTGGGATGACTCTTTTACTGTCTTTCGTCATATCCCAGCCAGTTCTCTGGTGCTTTGTTTGTATGTCTTCATACTCCAAAGGGTTTCTGACGACCGAAGTTAGATTGATCAGATCAGAGAGTGAAATTGATAAGATGACAGAGAGGATGTTTTGAGTGGTCTAAAGTGATTGTAATGGCTCAATGAAATGGCAGAACTTACTGTAAATGGAATGGTTTGTGCTATTTCTTTCGTTAAATATTACTTAAAGTTTTAGTATCTTTATTCTCAGGAGCTAAGGCCTTACAACTCTATCTTGATTTAAGGTTTACTGTCTGTAGTATGTTAGAGCTGTTTTCTTGCTTTCTTAATTCTTCCAAGAATTAACATCCCATCTTGTGCAGTGTGTTGGTGGTCTGCATTTTTTATTTGTGAGAAAATGGCTTCTGCATCTTGTCGTTTGTGTGTTTGCACAGGACCTAAGCTATTTACTTTAAAGAATACTAAATATATTCTACAGTATCAGTGCTTTTAACAGAGTTGATGAGTCACATGGTTCTCGTTATACCTGCAGACTTGTAATGCTTCCTTTGCCACTCGTGACCGACTGCGCTCACACCTAGCATGCCATGAAGACAAAGTTCCATGCCAGGTGTGTGGGAAGTACTTGCGAGCAGCATATATGGCAGATCATTTGAAGAAACATAGTGAAGGACCAAGCAATTTCTGCACTATCTGTAACCGAGGTAATGAAGAAACTATTTTTTATTTCAGTGGGACGGGACAACACTTGAGGGAATCTGTAAGGCTACATGACTCTGTCTGCAACAGGAGGAGGTTATACCATGTATGTGTACATGTTCTTTGTTTTGCTTATTGAATACTTAACCTTGGAACTGATGGAGCTGTAGGCCTGGCCTTTTTACATGGCTGATAGTTCCTGAATAAACCCAGTTTGAATCTGAAGCAAATTGTTTCTAGACAGTTTTAAGAATTTTATTTGCTAAATAGCCAGAGCCCTATACAGTAACCATGATATGTTCCCTTGCTGCTATTCACCATGCACCTTTTTTTTCTATACCTCGTTAGACTTGAGTCCTTGCAATCAGCTTGGAGTATGTTTCACCAAGTTAAAAATTATACACTGTACATAAAAAAAAAAAATCTACATTATATTTTCAGTCCTGCTTAACCTCCTGGTGCAGCAGTAGAGTCAAGCTGCTTTTCCCTCTTAAGCCAAGAAATATCTTTGTATTAACGTACATTTCTAAAACAAATTTTGTAAAGAGCACTAGGAGTGTGCTTTACTTTTATTTGTACAAATATGACTTTTCACAGAACCATAGAATATCTCGAGTTGGAAGGGACCCATAAAGATCATGGAGTCCAAGTCCCTGCTCCTCGCAGGACTACCTAAAACTAAACCATACGACTAAGAGCTTTTGAAGCTTTTTCATCTGTTTGTGGTATTCTTCAATTTGAGAGAGTTGTAAATTTAGGCTTTGTGGGATGTAAGGCAAGCTGGAAAAATAATTTTGACTTATTGGTGTCTTTTTGTTTGAATGATTAATGCACAGCTTCAAAATATATTGTTGGCTCACACAGGCGTACATATCTAGTAAATGTAGGAAGAGGTTGCTGTGGTGTTTTGGGATCTTGTTTTTTCTGATAAGTCTTTTTTTTATATGTGCGTTCCCTTTTCTAATTTAAGAGAGGTTGAAATCTTTTGAGAGAATAAAGCTGTTCTGTATTTAATGTGAAAACTGTAGAGCTTTTGGATGACTAGGAGTTGATGAGTAATGACAGACATTAAATTGCAAGGGAGATATTTCCAGTAGTTGAACAGTCTGTTAGGTCCTGAAAGTGATGTTAACAGTTTCAGTGGAACAGGCATCTGGGTTGAAAAATCTTCAGATTCTGAAGCTCCAGGTAGATGGTATGAAATGAAGCTTGGCCTCCTTTTCAGCTGAAAGCTTATCTTCTGAAAAAGTGCCTGAGCTTATCCCAGTTCTTTTAGTGGTAACAGCATGGAAGACACTATCCAAGATCAGGTGCTATCCTGCTGTCCTTCAGTTGAACATGGTGCCAAACAGAAACCTCATTTGGGTTGGGAGGAATTGTCTTGTTTCCAAGATTTATAAGCTTGAGTTTCAACTTAAATACCACTGGATGTCACTGCAGCTCTTTTGAAATCCAGACAGTATGACAAAGACAGATCTGGCATTCAAACAATGAAATGATTAAATGGTTTATTCACATTTTACGGGTTTAAATGTACAGTGAAAATTTAAATAAAATACACACTTCTGTGTAGAAGGATGAGGGGAACCTGTACAGCAAGCTTCAAGCAACGACTTTCTTCTTACAGTTTGCATGTTTCATATGTGTTGTCAGAATTTAGTCTGCTGTGAATTTCAGTTTACATCAGCACTTAGAAAATATAATAAATCTGGTGAATTATTGTTAAATATCTACCCAGTGTTAAAATTCATAGGAAAGGGAAGTTACAGACTGGATTTTTCAAACAGCTATGTTATGAACTCATTGTTTTATGTATAGATTTACGATCCATGACAGCAGAATTTTTAATCCAAAGTGTTCTAGAATCAAATTACAATGTTCATTGTTTTAAATAGACATCTTTTAAATTGTAGAGTGTGGCCAGATGAAGTATAGTGGAAAATTTCTGGATTAGAAATGTCTATTTGATAGGCATTCCTCCAGTCAGAAACTACACACCATGCCCCTGACTGCAATTGTGCCGTGGCTGTGGTGTTTGTGCAACGGGATTTTGTTTTATTCTTCCCTCAGCTAGTGTGCCGGTGTATTTTTTAATAGGAACTTTGCTAGTTCTGCATATAGTAATTGCCACGCTCTGGATACAGTAATTACCAGGCAAGAATGCTGAAGCTGCTTGTAGAGAGAATTTTGGATGTTGGCCCACCAAAAAAAAAAAGAAGTGGATGAAAAGGTGACTCTTACGCAGCTGAACATATCCTAGTGTTAAAGACAGAGCTTAGAATCTCTCAATTTATCCCGTCAGACTGAAGGCTTTTCTGTGGAACTTAATCAAGTGTCTCATGTTCTTTGAAAGGTTTGATGGATTTAGGAGATACGGAACTTAGTACCTGACTGACAGCAGTAGCCACTGGTTTGCCATGTCATGCGTGTACCCCATTTGCTGTTTTTACTTATTTATTTATTTATTTTACAAAATGGCAGTATAATGTCCAAAAATTACCATCTGTGATTTTGATGTTTTTTCTAGGTTATTTTCTTACTTAGAGCCTTTATGCTTAGAATAATTAAATTTTGTTAAATCAGAGAAGCTGTGCAATTTTTTTTTTTCTGGGATTTTCTGTATGTTTGGGGTTTTTTTAAGACTTCATCTAAAATGTGCTTATGAAAACTAATCCTCAATCCTCACTTCTTAAGACAAATTCTCTTTAATCAGTTTAGATAAAAAAGACCTGCTCCTGCTTTGTTGTTACATAATCTTCTATTACCATCCTTAGGAACTTTATTTGCTCGTGTGGGCTTTTTCAAAGAACTTAAGAGATTAATGACTTTGGCAACCCTAGAACCAATACTTTGTAATAACATGGGCAACTCAGACACATACGCGTTGTTTTTTTCACAGAAATCAAATTAGTTAGGAGAAGGGTAAACATTCCAATCACAAGTTAGATGGAAGTTTTTTTTCCAGTAAGATGAATTCTTGTCTATTTCATGGTGTATACAGAGTTGATTAAAACAAGACACGTTCTCTGCGTGTTCCATCTAAATCCAAATTAGAATTTTTGAAAAAGGAGCATCCTGCAATTATTTCTATAGTCTGTCTCCTTATAGATGTTATCTGAGTGGTCAAGGAATAGGTCCCATTTATATAAAGCAGATAATTTCCTCTTTATCCATGTTTTTAATGTTGGTTTCTCTGGTATGGAGAAATAATCTGCTCTGCAAAGCTGAGAGATGTGTGGTTAAAGCAATAAATACATTCCTTCTTTGAAAAATACTGCCACTTTATCTTCTGCATTAGCCTGACTTTGTTTTTAAAGAGAATCCCCTGTCTTCCCAGGACGAGCATTGATAATTAAGGTCTGGTGGAAAAAAAAAAAGGCCAGTGCTAAGTGCTTCAGAAAAAAATCAGGATAAAAACAAGCCAACAAAATCTCACTTTGAACAGTTTCCTATGAAGCAGTTGGCATTCTTACTGCTTTGATGGAAGTTGATGACTCACATGTTCATCTGCCAAGTGCATAAAGGGGAGCTAACACACTTTGCAGGCAGTTTTCATTATATAAAACAATGTGCTCTACAAATAGAATTGCAGAGTTCAGAAAAAATACTGTATAGCAGAGATTACAACTTCAGATTTTCCTGTGTCAATTGTGTAGAAAAACACTGAATACCTGTATGTAGTCCTTTTGAAATGGTTGGAAGTGAGGTTTTAATGTGTTGCTACATAAAGAGGCTCATCTCAGCGTGCATGTGGTTATTAGACACATGTATGAAATAAGGGAAGTACCTTGTAGTTGGAAGTATTACTGTTTTATCTGTACATTGTGTCCTTTTGTCTGCCAGTCAAACACTGGTTCTTTCCATGTCTACAGTGAATTTTTGGTATTTGGAAAACCACATTCTCTTGTGGCCCAGTGAGATTTTCAGTACAGCATTTTGTGTCTGGGAGTAGGTCTTGTGTTATTTTGAAGGGTAATAGCCTCACATTAATTCTCTGGATGACTTGGCCTAGGTGATTCTGCTCCATTGTACTTTGAGAGTCATACGTTCTTGGTTTCTTCAATTGTGACGTATCTACTTTTCGGTACTTTTTATCTTCAACTCAGGGGTCTACAGTAGCTATCTCTTGTTCATTCTCAACAACCTGCCCTTTTTCCCCTTTGGCAGGTTGCCGTGGAGTTCTGTCTTGCTCTGCAGGTCCTATATATATAATTCTTAATAACCCCTGAATACTCTTTGATCCTGGCTTCTAAGAAGAGTCTGGGTAGGGGGATATTCTGTTGGGTAGGCACAGGGAATTCTAGTGTAAAGCCACATTCATTATTAAATTCAGCACCTGAAACCAACAGCTGCTATCAGAAAATCCAGCCCACAGAGGTGTGCCAGTATTGGTTTTGCATCCTTCCTAATATATAGCTATATATTATCAAATGTAAATGCAGTTATATCACTATAAAAATGGCTTTACAGGGGTATATCTAATCATATTTAAAGTGAAGCATTGCTATGAAAGTTCTCTTGCAAGGGCTTGTGCTATAAATGCTGTATTGGTTTAAAAAAAATCTAGGTTTTGGGTTTTCTCTATCCAGAACGGGAACCTGGGACTCTGTGTCTGTGATGGTGAAACTTGTGTTCTCAGTTGTTAAAGGAAAATATTTCTGACGTGAAAGTGCCGTAATACTTTGTTCAAAATATAATAGAAAATTAACATGGTTGTTGATAGGCTTACCTATGTAGGAAGTCTTTAAAACTCTGTCCTCTTTGTGCCTCGTATATAGTCCAAATGTACTAGTACTAATTGCAAATCTTATTAAAATAGAATTTAAAAACATTCCAAAGCATATGTGAGATAATTTATTGCATTAAAGGAAAAGACTATACTTGTGAGACTTCAAAAACAATTTAAAAAGGCACATGCACAAATGTAAAAAACTGTTCTGTTCAGAAATCAGTTGTTTGAAATATATGGTTTTAATTTCAGTGGTTTGGGCTTGCAGATCAGAGCTAATAGAAATATTGACATTTCCTTTTAATTTTTCTTTGTTAACTGCAGACAAAATATGAGTTTTAGTATGCTTTTTAAAACTCAGGATGGGCTGAATGGAGGAAATGTTTTTCAAAAATTACTAGAGAACAAAATTGTATACCTTAAAAACTCAATAGTTTCAGCTTTCTGCCTTCTTGGAGTCGCTATAAATGCTAGAAACCTAAGGGGAAAGCACACTAAATACCAAAGAGGGATATTACTAAATGGCATTCCTTCAGCTCTTAACAGCATAAAGTAAACTAATTTGAACTATCTTCCAAAGTATTATCAGATGATGAAGGCATTTTTGATTAAAATAAATAGAACAAAAATGGTGAAGAGACATGGATGCCTTTTTGTATCATATCTCTTCTGCCTTTTTTTCCAGAAAGTTTCATGTCATCTGCTAGGTTTGCTTACATAGGATTTGTTGCTCAAGGAGGCTGTTCTTTCATCATGACTTCCAAAAAGCAAATGAAGTCTAATGAAAGGTATGCATTGCATTCATTGCCTGATTATGTCTAGGAATCCTACTTGAGCACGTTGTAGGTAACCAGAAATCATAACTAGTGTAATGGCAACTTTGTAATAGGGGGTAGGAGCAAGAGAAAGATTAAAAGAACAGGGAAGGCAGATGTGTGTCTTTGCTGGTGGCAGGATCTCATCTCCTTTTATCTTGTTTAGGTTTCTCCTCTGCCTCCTACTTAAAGGTCCATGTTAAAACCCACCACGGTGTTCCCCTTCCCCAGGTCTCCAGGCACCAGGAGTCCATCCCGAATGGGGGAGCAGCGTTCCACTGCGTCAGGACCTATGGCATCAAAGGCAAGAGACTCGCTGCTCTGCACCTTGCTGCTCTGTGCAGAACTTTGTGTTGTGGGATGTTGGGCTGGGCGTGAGAAAGGGGAGGGAGGAAGGACAGGGAAAATACTGGAGAGAAGCTTAGGGAGGTGCAGAGAAATTACATAGCCTCACATAGTATGTGATATCTGTCCTTGGATACCCGATTTAACGAGTCAGGGGGAAGGAGGCGGACACGTAAGGGTATGTGAATTTTTGGCAGCTTCTTTGATTTTAGAGATTGAAAAAGCCATGTTAGCTCTTGACCATCTTCCTGTGAGCAGTCAGTATTTGAATTTTGCCTGAGGGGTGCAGATCCTTGACGGTTCCTTAGTCCCACTATGCTTGAATCTTGCGTCAGTCAAACCATGTTTCTGCTTTCCGGTGAAGGAAGGGGGAACCGCAGAATGGAGTTCATAAAGATTCTTGAGCAGTGAAAGCAATATTCATCCTCAGGTTGATGAGGAGCCATGCAGCTATCTGTAGTTAAACTTACACTTTTTACTGCTGTTGTTGGAGAGGAGAGGTAGAGGGTGATAATAGTACTGTTACTTTTTTTTGGTTTTTAACCTGCCTTTAACTTCGGAGGGGGGAAGATACTATTGTGAGAATAGCTACAGAGTATTTAACTTCTGAATGTGTAAATCTCTGTGTTAATCTATGTAGAATAGCTTGCTTTTTGCCTCTTGGTTTGAGCTGTCAGTATTCCTGGTGAAGCTGAAACATCAAAAAATTCTTTAAAACCGTGGTTGTCCCAAGAAGTTACGTTTCTTTCTTGCCCAGGAGAACACAGCAGGCTGGGTTAAACGAAATCTGTGCCGGCGGAAAGCTGCAGTTGTGTAATTTTTTTCTGTTGAAGTCCTGATAGAGTTGCTACAGAAGCCCTTTGGTTTGGGTGGTGTGCTGACTTAACAAGAGATTTACTCCAGCTCAGTGGTGTATTGATTTCATGCATATCCTGTTCGGTTTGTAATACCGAGTCCACAGCAAATCTGTCTTTTGGGTTGTGCCAAGTGGTTCTTTGGTCTTTTAGAGTTAATAGTAGATACAGCTTATTTGTATTCAGAGGCTTATTTAGGGAGTACGTCTGGGTTTCCCACGCTCATTCATATGTGCTGAGCAAAAAGTGTGGACAAAGTTTCTTGGCATAATGCCAGAGGAGAGCGGGGAACACTCCAAACATACCAATGGCTTTGCCAGGATATGTATCCAAATGACTTAAAATACTGTCCCTAACCTCTCTTCTGTTTCACACTACAGTATTTAAAGATGGAACAACTTTAGATTATGAAGTTCACTTCTAACGGTGTTGCACTTGTAAAAAAGAGTTTCTCTAGACTAAATGGCTTTGCACTTCTTAAATTGCAGTAGCTCACTGCTGTTTTGCTGAGTATTTCCAGGTTTCTTCACATCTTGCTGCAGTCTGTTGTACTTTATTAGGTTTCTAGACTCTCCCCCAAAGTACCAACAAAATTTTGGAAGCGTGGGAGTGAAATTGTACAGTTAAAAACTCATCATTACGTCCATCCTTTTGTAGTGCCTGAGATATAAACATTGTGAGACATCTTTGGGATTCAAAAAAGTATTATATAAACCAGAGACTGATTATGGTTACATTCAGTATCATGATAAATCCATAATAAAAACCTGGATGTTGCTCCGATAGCAGCCTGATGGTTTGTAAAGGGAACCTATGGTCAAGGGCTTTAGAATATAAGGGATTGCAGTGTTAAGTGTGTATCATTCTGTCATGACAGGCGTTAATGAAATCAGGTGGTAACCAATATAATCTTATTTTAATGCATGTTAAATACTTTTTTTGGGAGATAAGATTCTGAAAACTTCTCTCTTTTCTTTTTCCCATAGAAGGCCAGAAATGTTCACATTCGGACCCGATTGAGAGTTCTGATTCATACGGAGACCTCTCTGACACCAGTGACCTCAAGACTCCTGAGAAACAGAGCACCAATGGGTCCTTCTCGTGTGACATGGCAGTCAGCAAAAACAAAATGGAGACGGAAGGAGAGAAGAAGTACCCTTGCCCTGAATGTGGCAGCTTTTTCAGATCAAAGTCTTATCTGAACAAACACATACAAAAAGTTCACGTCAGGGCCCTTGGTGGCCCATTGGGGGACCTCGGTCCTGCTCTAGGATCCCCCTTTTCACCCCAACAGAACATGTCTCTCCTGGAGTCATTTGGGTTTCAGATCGTCCAGTCAGCATTTGCATCATCCCTAGTGGATCCAGAGGTCGACCAGCAACCAATGGGGCCAGAGGGGAAATGAGATCCGTTTGATCTTAACAGAGCAAAGCAGCAGTCTGGCTATAATGATAAGATGCTGTGAATGAAAGAGGAAATAATGAAATTGGGTTCTATAGCTGAGAATTTTTTACTCATTTTAGCTTCCCTCTTTGTCTCATGCCCGACCCCACCTTTAAACCTTCACTGGGGAGAGAAGAAAATGCTTCTTAGCTGGTAAATTACAGAAGATGGTGACCTTGAATAGAAGGCATGACCTAAAACACCAAATGGAGCTTTAGAGGCTGCTGCTGGTGTTTCGTCGTGATCTTCTAGAATAAACAAAAGTTGCCAGCACTGATGTGAGAATTAGACAGTCCTAGTGACCGAGGCACCTGGGGAGCTACAGCTACAGGGAGCTATGCTTTTGTTCTCTCTCTATTCCCCACCTTCCCTAACCTATCCCAAAAAACCAGTAAGTTTTAAAAACAGACCCACTATTGACCCATTATTGAATACAACATTAAGTAAAATGCCCCGTGGAACCTAGCAGGTTACAATGCAGTTGTCCTTTTAAAAACAGAAAAATTTAAAGAAGGTGAGAGAATTTGAACCCTTTCTGCCATTTGTGAGGCTGTGAGTGCTGCAGCAGGACTGAACTGCTGAGAAAAATCACCATTCAGAACAGGTTGGTTTTGTTACTTTTAACCATTAAACTTGCTGTCAGGTTTTTAATTCTCTATTATTATTATTTTAGGACCTGTTGTAGTGAATTGCTACTGAAAAGCCAGTCTAAGGCGATACACAGAGCACTCTTAAAGCAGCAGTCACGTTAGGGTTAGTATTAATTTTTTTTAGATGTACCATAATTAATAACTTGGCTAGTTGATTGTTTTAAGTCTATGAAAGAAATAGTTTTATGAAAAAAAAAAAAAAGGAAAAAAAAAAAAGGAAGGAAAAATACCATTGCAGTCTGGTTGACTGGTGCTCATTTTTCATGTGGGGACCTAGGGTATAAACACGATCAGCTATCGGGTTAACACTATGTACCACTGACTTGTTTAGTGCGAATAAACCCAGGGGTTCACAGAGTGATTTTGGTTTAATTGGATTGGACTCTATTAAAGAAGTTAGTATGATACTTTGCATCCCCTCGTTTTGTCTGGTTTTTGAGCAATTCAGCCACCTGTCCAAAAGGTGTGCAAATGAGAACCAGTAAATAAGACTTAATCCCACTCTGCACTGTACTGTATTCTCAGTGAGCTGGGCTTTTTGGCTACAGTTGTGCTCTCCTGATCTGCCTCTAGTCAGGTTTGCAAAAGCCAGTCTTACTCCTTTCTTTTCCAAAGGAGAAGGGTTTCTACTATGACAGATGGGAATTGCAAACAGCATATCTCTGAAAAAGAGTTGTTTACAAAATGCAAAGAAGCTGGGCTCTAGGCTGTTGGAGGTTCTGTTTAGTCTGAAAATACCACTTGTGCAGAAATAATGTCCTTTCTTGACCCTCCCTTTCATCCCATGTAACTTGTCACGGTCTTATGTACCAAATCCAGGTATAAATGTTGTTTAACACAGGGTTAGGAGTTAGGAATACTCTGAGTTATAATTATGGTTCTGCTGTTGATGCTCTAGGTCACATAGGACCGCTCCCTGAATTTATTCCTAAATTTCCCATCTGTGCGGAGTTTTCTCTACATCACAACTGTTGTGAGGGTTAATGAGCAAAGGTTTAAGCAGTGATTTGGTAAACTAAGTTGCCATGTGTACCGAACATTTCTAGAAAGGCCTCTCTGAAGAGCCCAAGTCCCACACCAAACTTGCAGTCTTGAAACAATAGCTGTCTCCGTCATTAATACAGTGCTGGAGCAGGATAGACCACCTCAGACCAGGACCTACATCCTCTGCAGGAGATACATCTGTATTAAATGTGAACGTTGCCACAAACTGCTGATGCGCCACAACTTGCGTTGTCCGGGTGCTCCTAATCCAAACCCTGCAGCTAATGCATAACTGAAATAAGACACATTCCTGTTTTGTTTTTGTGTTAGAATTATAGAGCATTTTGTAAGTATATGGATTTTGGAATGACATTCTAAACTCTGCAGACTTAGAAGCCCCAGCTTCTCTCTTGTAAGAAGCTACTTTTTTGTACTTGCTCTCGAGTATTATAAACCAAGGATGAATAATCAATGGCTTTCTCTTTATAGCACCAGCACTTTCTAAACTGAGAGCATGTTGAATTGGACTTGATGTTTTACTACTAATCTGTGTTGGGAGACTGAAGGACATGTTCTTCTCCATTTATCTTCCCCCAGAATCCCTGGAATAGGTAGGAGTCTCATTTAAAAGGGAGGAAAAGAAAAACTCAAACCAACCCACCTTGAAACTAAAGCTTCATGGAATTGCTATTGCTGTAAGCTTAGTTGACAAGCAGAAACAGGACATTTTGGAAAGGTAACAAAGCATTTAAATAAAAATACCTTACAAATCTAGACCATGCTGAGACGACCTTGTAAGCTGCCAAGCAAGTCAAGATAGAGCAGGCTTTCCAGTCAGCGTAACAATTCATTGGGATTAGCAAATATATCTGCAGTTACTCTGGTTTACTAATAGCTCTATTTAAGCCATTAGGAAAATTTCTGTTGAATTGAGGCTGTATTCTGAAAGATAGAAGAAGTTAGTGTCCCCAATGTTCCTATATGCGCTCAAAGAGGGTGCACTAGTCATAAAATTCAACTCCAAAAGCCAAGTGCAGAATATAGGATATTTTCATCCTACATTTAGGTCCACTGACTTCATTGTTACTGGTGGGTTAAATTTTGGCCATGTGTATCAGAATTTCATTTAAAACACTACAGAATTTGACCTGATGAAACAAATGAAAAGCTTGAACTAAAAAGGAAGCCTTCTAAAACACTAACTGTGCATTTTGCCTGTCAAAGAAAATGCTTACTAAGTTGTCATGAATACATTGAATGAAAGCTACTTACTTCTCAGTCTAGTGGACAGGGAAACAATTAGGCAGGAAGTGAGCAATCCTGAAATGACAGTTCCAGATCTTCCTGGTGTAAATGGGAGAGATTTACACCAACACAAGAGACTAGTGCAGACTAGTGCCAGCAGTAGGTTGGGCAGATCTTTGGCAGTGGTGTGTTTTCTGAGCTTTTTTGCTTCTTTGGGGGCATATTGTTCCATTCCGGATAGTAATTTAATCTACGTGCAGATTCTTTATATTCTGTACTTTGGGAAATGCCTGCTTCTCGTAGAACAGAAGACAGATGAAAGCAGAAAACACAGGCTCGGAAGTTCAGAGTTCAAAGGGAAGTACTTAACATGCCCTGAGCTGCAACCTCACTTGTTTCTGTTATATTTTTAACTGGCACATCAGTGTATAGATGATAGTTCTCATTTTGGGCCAGCCCTCCTGTCCTTGGTGGGACTGCAATCCAGTGTTTGAGTCAGTGCATTTTTCTGCCAGGAAGGGAACTTCAACTCATACAAATTTAGATAATCAGAGTTGTAGTATTTCTTTGTATTATAGGCGTCCTTAAACCCCTCAACTGAGGCTCAGACCCTTGTGTATTAGGTATGAGGAAAACGTCTTCAACCATTTATAATCTAAACATTAAAGATAGACAAGAAAGGAATAGATGCTTATAGGTGAATAAGTGAAATAAAGATGAAGGACTAAAAACTGCTTGCATGCATGCTTAAGTGTTGTGTTGAATGTAGGGGCACAGACTTACCATCAGGCTGCTTTTGTTGCCTGAATTTATCTTTATGTACTGTTAATCCACAACAAATGCAAGGTAAAGGAATTTAATGTGAATTTATTCCATACTGAGTTAAATTAAGTGACATTAGCTTGCATTTGTCATGTGTTAGATGTGTGCAAACATACTTACTAGTGTGGCTCACCTGATGCGTGGTAATGTGGTGCGTGTGAGCTCTCAGTCTTAGAGTGATTTACCCATGATGATGTGGGAAATTGATAGCAGAACCAGAAATTGAACACAGATTTTTCCTTCTCTCAATCCAGTGCCTTAACTATAGTAGGGCAAAGTATTATATGTGGGGGGGGGATGATTGTTTTGTTTGTTTTTTAAAGCCTAGAACTATAAGATGGTGTGGAGTTGGTCTTCCTACCAATCTTTTGAATAATTGCAAATGCCCAGTCACAATTTTAGACCTGTTTGAGTGCCAGTGACTTAGGGAATATTTGTTATTTCCCACGTATTCCCTGAAATTATTGTTCCTCCCTCAACTGCTGCCAGCAGTAAGGAATGACTTGAATAGAAGAGTTGTGTAACTGAATGTCTATCTAACTCAACTAATTGAATTGATAGTATGAAAGCTAACCTAGATTTTGTAGGCTCCGTTGTAACTTTAGTGTCTTGTTTTTTCACTAAATCTTTGTTCCTAGAAATCAGTATCTGAACTTATGTCTTGAGTCTGGAGTGGGGTACCACTTTCAGCTTTAATTTTTTTTGAGGTGCTTGCTTGAGGAAGTAGATGCCAAAGTAAACTTTAAAGGAACTCCAGACTTCAGTGTTGGAAGAATGAATGGAGAGCAAGAGCTCTCTTTGGGTTTCATGAGAGATAAATGGACAAAGTAAAAAACAGCTACCAAAATTTTAAGTAATGAAACAGGAAAGGCTTTTCTTTATCACCCACAAAAATAATCAGATATTTTCAATTGTTCAGTGTGGCAGAAACTCTGAGAGCAAGTGCCAAACAAAACCATGGAATGTGTTGGCTTTTTCAGCATTATGAATATACCTTAACAGCATTATGAATATTTCAGTGTAAATTTAGCCAGCTTTGTACCATTCGCCTTTTGCCTGGGCACAGTACCCGAGTTTTAATTGAATAGAACATAAGCCCACAGTGAATCTCTGAGCTTATGCTTTCAATTCCACCCCGAGGGACAAAACAAATGAGCAAAGATGGGGAAAAAAACAATAGGAAAACTTAAAAGATAAAACATTCTGCAAGATTCGCATGTCTCCTGAGGGAGTCCTGTTTTTTATCCTGAACATCCTTTTC